TGGGGAACAAGTCCACAACCCGGGCATGTGCGCTGACAGGAATCAAACCAAGACCTCCTGGTTCATAGATTGATGCTCAACCACTGAGCCACATCAGCCGAGCTCCAGTATTTTAAATTGGAAATTGTAATTAATGTGATGATACACGTTAAAGTATTGGGGGGGGGGGTGGAAAATGCTGTTGACATGTAAAATAAGTATTATTGCTGTTCTGTGAAGATGAATCATTATAGACATCAATAAAGGTAACTGCATTGCTTTAAACATAGTAAACATAAACATAATAAACATAGTCATCCATCCCTAATCTGTCTTTGCATAACATTGACCTGTTAAAAGAGCGAAGGGCAGGTGATCTTTTTTGTGAAAGCTGTGAAAGATAAACATCAGATTTGGGAAATTTTTGTTCTTGGAGAATGGATGAACTAGTATAGTTGAAGAGTTGATTGTTCATCTACTTCTTTTAATGTCCACAAGCTGTATTCTTAGAAAGCAGGCTGGGGCACAACCATTCACCTAGAAATATGTCCTATTATGAACAAAACAGTTATTTTTTCTAAATCGTATTTTCACATTTTACTCAGTAGATTGTCTTATTGTCTGAAATAATTTGTGGGTGATTTTTAAGACTTGAACTTCCTTTCCAAATTTTTGGTACAGGATTTTAGTAGTATTTAGTTCTGTTCAAATAATTACTAAGCAGATTGTCCACTTAAGGGAAATGAAAATACTGTTTATTGAACACAGCCATGAGCCAAGCATTGTTCTAGAAACAAAGTAATTTCAGTAAGAATGATTATATGTAGTGTAGTTATGCTCATATAGGTGCCCAAGGTCACAGAGCTAACATGTGGTGACAGATGAAACCCATTTTCAGAAACCTGTTCTTTCCAACGTGATCCAATCCCCTTTGGTGGAGAGCTTTACAGTGTAATCCTGAACCTACACCCAGGCAGGCCCAGGGAGGCCGAGTGCTGGGAAGCTCACCTCTCTGGTGCCAGCTGTCTGCACTGCTTCCCTGAGCCCGGTAGTGGGAGGTAAAAGTATGTCTCGTGGTTGTGCCCTCAGGCATCTATCGAGCTGTGCCTATTCGAGTCAATCCAAGAGTGAGTAATGTGAAGTCTGTCTACAAAACCCACATTGATGTCATTCATTATCGAAAAACTGATGCAAAACGTCTGCATGGCCTTGATGAAGAAGCAGAGCAGAAACTTTTTTCAGAAAAGCGTGTGGAATTGCTTAAGGAACTTTCCAGAAAACCAGACATTTATGAGAGACTTGCTTCAGCCTTGGCACCAAGCATTTATGAACATGAAGATATAAAGAAGGTAACAATGGAGTTTTAAAATATACGTGTGTGTGGGTATAGATAGATAGATAGATAGATACTTAGATAAATGAGAGGGGGAAAGGGGGGGAGGGGAGAGAGAGAAATACCAATATGAGAGCAAAACATCGATTGACTGCCTCTTTCATGCCCTTTACCAAGGACCAAGCCCACACCCTGGCATGTGCCCTGACGGAATCGAACCAGCAGTCTTTTGGCACATGGGACAGTGCCCACCTGAGCCACGTTGGTCAGGGCAGTGATGGTGGATTTTTAATTTGTGGTTGAGAAAACGTTCTTTGTGACCAAATAGCGTAAAGCAAGCATGTTAAACATGCCGGCTATGAGTTTGACATGCTTGGTGTAAACATCCATCTCTTCCCCCATGACCACCACCCCTCCCCACCATAAAGGATAAGAGCTGCTGCCTATTGGGCAGAGCTCACAGCCTGACCTGGTTATAGGTTGAGGAGAATCACAGCACCATTGTCCATTTCTTTATCTCTACACCAAGCATGTCAAACTCATGGCCCTCGGGCTGCATGCCTCATTTATTTGACCTGTGTTAGCCTTTGAGTTTGACATGCTTGCTCTACACCAAACTTCCATGTTACCATATCTATGAAAAGCCACACAGAAGAGGGATTTACACGACCACCATTCTGATATGGTGTGTGCTAATGTATAAATTGGTTAGTGATAACTTAAGGCAGTGTCACGTTCATTTTTCTATACCTTTGTTTAAATTTCTTAATTATAATTCATAGAGTAGAAAAGAACCTCTAACATTTAACCCTTTGCGGTCCAATTTTATTTTTGGAATTCAAACAGTCTGGTCCAATTGATTGATAGGATTGAATGTTGACCCGGTTTGTGGTGTCGACCTCAGCCTCGATGTTGGACCTGATCCTAGCGCCTTGTCTGTCGAGTCAGCCTCCACGTTGGACCAAAAAGGGTTAAACTATATCTCAGTTATTCTACAGTAAATGAATGTTGAAACATGTTTCTTTGTTTAGGGGATCTTGCTTCAGCTCTTTGGTGGAACAAGAAAGGATTTTAGTCACACAGGAAGGGGCAAATTTCGTGCTGAGATCAACATTCTCCTGTGCGGTGATCCTGGGACCAGCAAGTCCCAGCTACTGCAGTATGTGTACAACCTGGTCCCCAGGGGCCAGTACACATCTGGAAAGGGCTCCAGTGCTGTCGGTCTCACTGCATACGTAATGAAAGACCCCGAGACGAGGCAGCTTGTGCTGCAGACTGGTGCCCTTGTCCTCAGTGATAATGGTATCTGCTGCATTGATGAGTTTGACAAGATGAATGAAAGTACAAGATCAGTATTGCATGAAGTCATGGAACAGCAGACACTTTCCATTGCAAAGGTACGTCACATTCTCCACCCATAAATGTGGACACATTTGCAATGTAGGAAACTGGTAAATACTTTAGATTGCAGCTAAATCTCTTGAGTATTTTTGACAGGATTCTCTTTATGAAATAATGTATTTTAATTTTGTCCTACAGAGTATGCAAAGGATTTAGTTTTGGAGAAAGATGCAGTTGTAGTATATACAGTTACCTAAAACTCGGTGCTTTACATGAATCCACGGACAGGGTGTTGTCCCAAATGGGACCACTGGAGTCACCTTTACAAGGTGGTGTGGCTCTCGGTGACATTGGAGACATGGTAGAGGTCATGCCAGGAAAAGATGTCTCTCACAGTTCCAGCCATCATTCAAGTGAAACATCTAACTGCACTGTTTTCTCTGATAGGCTGGGATTATTTGTCAGCTCAATGCACGCACTTCTATCCTGGCAGCAGCAAATCCTATTGAGTCTCAATGGAATCCTAAAAAAACTACCATTGAAAATATCCAGCTACCTCACACGTTATTATCAAGGTATGAAAACATTTTTATTTAAGAGATGTTTGTTCTTTGCTTATTTGTAGAATTTTCAGGGTGGGATTAAGGAAAGGAAATACTAATATTCAACAACGGCTAATATCACAAACTCTTGAATGCAAAAATTTTCAAATTTGGTTGGTGAAGGGTTTTCATTGCAAGGACTGTGTCTTTCTTTCTTTTTTTTTTTAAACATATTTTATTGATTTTTCACAGAGAGGAAAGGAGAGGGATAGAGAGTTAGGAACATCGATGAGAGAGAAACATCGACCAGCTGCCTCCTGCACACCTACTGGGAATGTGCCTGCAACCAAGGTACATGCCCTTGGCCGGAATCAACCCTAGGACCTTTCAGTCTGCAGGCTGACGCTCTATCCACTGAGCCACACCGGTTAGGGCGACTGTGTGTTTCTTTACTCAGCTATGGGCAGCACCTTAATAATCATTTGTTTTTTGAAGCAATTAGGACATTTCACCTTGGCATCTATTTCAGAAGCCACTATTCTTATCTCATTCCTAAAGCCACTATTGGGAATCAACCACTATACTCTTTTCTACAAAGAATAGCTTCACGTAGTAGATAACTTTCTGAAAAGTTAAATTTTTTAAAGCATAATCAGATTAATTCCCACTCTTGCTCAATCCACTACTATAAATATTCATATGTTCCATAAAATTATTTTGCATTTTAATTGACTTTTTAACCAAATAGTTATTTTTTCTCTAAGCAGCTGAATGTGTTTTTATTTGTATATTCCAGTCTTTAAAATTAAAATTATACTAACATTTCCCTCAGGGAAATCTTTGAATCAGCTGTTTCTGGCCAGGCGAACAGTTACTTGGGTGGGAACAGAGCAGGGTGAATTGGATTGATCTGAAGGCTCGGTAGGCGACCTGGATAGAAGGGGCTTGGGGAGAATCCTCAGACGCCTGAGTAAATGCCATGTTTGCTGTACATGCCTAGGTTGCCCAAGAGCGATTTTTAAATTATGCTTGTAGATATGTTGGTGTCCCAACTATGAACACGTTGCTTTTACAATATTTTCTCAGGTTTGATTTGATCTTCCTCATGCTGGACCCTCAGGATGAAGCCTACGACAGGCGTCTGGCTCACCACCTTGTCGCTCTTTACTACCAGAGCGAGGAGCAAATGGAGGAGGAGTTCATGGACATGGCAGTGCTAAAGGATTACATTGCTTACGCTCACAGCATGGTCATGCCTCGGCTGAGCCAGGAAGCCAGCCAAGCTCTCATCGAGGTAACACAGGTCCATGTTTACAGCCTGAAAAAATGTCTCTCTACAACTATTTTTTTCTCCTTTGTTGCAAAATGATTTTTCCAAATGTGTAAAGGAAGAAAGGGTTAATTTATATAGGTTGTACACACACGTTTTACATTTAAATACTAAGTATAGTGGATTTAAGATCAGAATATAGGAGTTGAAGTATAGGTCATTCTACTTAGTGACTTTGTAATTCTGAACAAGTAATCCAGTTTCTCTGAGCTTCCATGTTCTTATTTCTAAAAAATAAAATATTTTATGTTCACTTTTCAGTATCGCTTACATAGGCAGCAGTGCATGATGACACATTAGGTTATTCAAACATTGTCATAGAGGATTTTTATGGGCTTTGCATCCTAATGAAGCTCCCCAAATACTCAAAAGTTGAAGATAATATATTCCATTTGTATTATTCTTGTTTGTTTGTTGTTGTTGTTGTTAATCCGCACCTGAGGATATTTTTCCATTGATTTTTAGAGAGAGTGGAAAGGAAGGGGAGAGACAGAGAGACACATTAATTGGTTGCCTCCTGCATGCTCCCTGACCAGGGCTGGGCATCAAGCCGCAGCCGGTACATGCCCTTGACTAGAATCGAACCTGGGACCCTTCAGTCTGTAGGCTGATGCTCTATCCCCTAAGACAGACCAGCTAGGGCCTGTTCATATTATTCTTGAGAGTTGCTCAAAAAGAAATAAAATTATGTCATCTATATGTAAGTTTAATACAACTTACCTTTGTAATATTATCCCAGTAACCTTTTGTGTGCCTTATTAAATGGGTCCTCAGCAAGGATATAAATTGGAGTCAGTGCCTGAGGAGCTTTTACAGATAGGCATCCTGATTGTCTTCTGCTCTGACCACAGCCTACCCCTTAGTCCTTTGAGTACTGGGCTTCGTACTTTCACTCCCATTCTCCAAAATCACATCCGACACCACCTTCTTGTGCTTGGAGGCACAAAGCTTGATCTCACTTTTCATTCCCCTCAATACCTGCACACAGCCTGGCAGTAGTTTCGTTTATTTAATAGAATCCTAAATGTTTAAAGCTCAACCACAAAACTAAGGTCATTGTTAACAAGGAATTTGGGCATTTTTTTCTGTCTACCCTAGGCTTACGTAGACATGAGGAAGATTGGGAGTAGCCGAGGAATGGTCTCTGCATACCCTCGACAGCTGGAATCTTTGATTCGCTTAGCGGAAGCCCATGCTAAAGTACGGTTTTCAAACAAAGTTGAAGCAATTGATGTGGAAGAGGCAAAGCGCCTGCATCGCGAGGCTCTAAAGCAGTCTGCCACTGACCCCCGGACCGGCATTGTGGACATATCTATTCTTACTACAGGTTTGTTATTTGCATTAAACATAAAAGCACATGAAAATTATGTAATTGATATTAAATGTAATTGATATTATTTTAGCATTCAGCCACTATCCCCTAACCTTAATGGAAATTTGAGACATTTCACTTTCTTATAGAAGAAATATTTTCATTAATTTTTTTTAAATTAGGAATGAGTGCCACTTCTCGTAAACGGAAAGAAGAGTTAGCTGAAGCATTGAGAAAACTTATTTTATCTAAAGGGAAAACACCAGCTCTAAAATACCAGCAACTTTTTGAAGATATTCGAGGACAATCTGACATAGTAAGTGTTCATATGTATTTTATGTGTAATAGAGTTTTTATCTTATTATTGACTTTCAGTTCTTTTTCTCATTTTCTCCTTCATTTATTAAGTAGTAAATGTTAAGGATAATGGAGAAAAGGAATATCACCCATAAACCCATCATCAAGAAATAATCACAATTAAAATTTTATTTGCCGCTTTTATAATTTTTCCATGTGTATATATTCACATGTGGTCTTTTTAAAAAATGAACATAGTTGATTATACTGCTTTATAACTTGCTGTTTCTTTTTAATTAACAAATTAATATTAACACCATCTGTGAAGGCAAATAGATTTCATATTAATCATACTGGTTGGTATTCTTTTGCATACACATTTCATCATTTACTTAATCAGTTGTTGTACAGTCGGGATGTTTGCAGTTTTTTGCTATTTTAAGTAGTAATAACTATCAAATTTATTTTGAGTTGTTTAGTGAAAAAAACTCTGATGGCTAAAACCAGCCTTTGCCTGCTATAATAATACCCCCCTTGACTTCTGTATTTATTATCTGTTCCTGCACTGCTAGTTGGGGGCATAGTTGAGTAGTTAATGACAGATGCCAAGCTCTCTCTATAACAGGTAAAGGAGTACTTGATATGTGTAAAATATTTGTTTCTCTCCTTTTTCCCAAAGGCAATTACCAAAGATATGTTTGAAGAAGCATTGCGTGCCTTGGCTGATGATGACTTCTTGACAGTAACTGGAAAAACTGTTCGTCTGCTCTGAAGTCTTTGTGAGCAGTGCTGTGTATTCTGCTTGTTTGCACTTGCTTGCATATGTGTGTGGCATATGGGCCAGTCAGCTGCCATTACTGCAAATAAACTCTTAAAGTCATTATTTGGCTCCATAACATTTTTCTAACCTGGGTTCAATTTTTGTAGAGAAATGAGTTTTCATTTTTTCTAACTCTTTTAAGTGAAAAATATTATGCCAGGTTGCAATAGAGATTATTTACTTGAACTGCCGTCTTTTAAAGATGGCAGTCTGGGTCATGGTTTTGATGCTAGACATTGTAAAAGGCAGTCATCCACATGCTTAAGGTTTTTGTAGTATGAGATAAGATTTAGCCAGGGCATATCATTCTGAGTGAGGTAATAAAAGATCAGAGCCTTGCCCTAGCCGGTTTGGCTCAGTGGATGGAGCGTCGGCCTGCAGAATGGGGGATCCCAGGTTCGATTCCGGTCAGGGGCATTTACCTTGGTTGCGGGCACATACCCAGTGGGGAGTGTGCAGGAGGCGCTGATCGATGTTTCTCTCTCATTGATGTTTCTAACTCCCTATGCCTTCCTCTCTACAAGAAATCAATAAAATATATTTTTAAAAAAAGAATTAGGTTCTTGATTAACTTCTTTACTACTTTATCCTAATGTGTAAAACTTTTTCCTAAATAAATGATAGACTTAAGTAATAATTGTTTATCTGGCATTATTTTTAACTAAGGAAAAAAGTTTTAATAAATACTACATTCAACCCAGCTGTCGTGGCTACGTGGTTGAGCGTCAGCCTATGAACCAGGAGGTCATGGTTTGATTCCTGGTCAGGACACATGCCTGGAATGCGGGCTCAATCCCGTGTGGGGCATGCAAGAGGCAACCAATCAATGATTCTCATCACTGATGTTTCTATCTCTCCCTCTCTCTTCCTCTCTGAAATCAATAAAATATATCTGATCAACAATAATCAACAAAGATCTACATAAGTACCTAAGGAATTAAGTGAACTAAGGTGGAGATGCTTCAACCATTATTACTTAAATTAACTGGGTAGTTCACAGTTCTGACCTTTACTAGAACTTCAGAGGTTACTAGCCTTTTTTGGGGGGTCTCTGTCCAAACCCAGCTAGTAAAGACAATGAATGGACTCTGGCATATGTATGTATGTATGTATAAATAAATACTGCATTCATGAAAATTCACGATGGTACGTACTTTATAAATCATCAAAGAAACTAATATGAATTTTACTCAAAAATTAATTCCAGCAGTCATTAGTCTTATAAAACCATCATATCTGAAATCTCACATGGAAATACTGCTATAATGAATAATCCCTGAAACATTTAAGACATTTTATGAGTTAGGCCTATTTAAGTAGACTCAAAATTCCTTAATAAGGTATTCATGGAAATGATATATCTAATTGAATATTTAAACAGCATTAAAATGTTAATATTGGATTAATACCATATGGTCTTTAGAGACCTCCGACCTTTTCAACCTTTTTCATCTCATGGCACACACAACCTACTTACTAAAATTTCACCAGTGGCCCAATCCTTACTAACTAGGACAGAAACAGAATGTTCATTGTAGTCAGTAATTTGTGGAACAAAGTTTAGATTTCAACTAGTCTAGACACAGATCGTGCCTGATCGGCATGGTTCAGTGGTTGAGCAGTGACTTATGAACCAGGAGGTCACGGTTCAATTCCCGGTCAGGGCACACGCCCAGGCTGCGGGCTTGATCCCCAGTGGGGCACATGCAGGAGGCAGCCAATCAATGATTCTCTCTCATCATTGATGTTTCTATCTCTCTCTCCCTTACTCTCTGAAATCAACAAAAATATATATTGAAACCTGAACTCTGAAACTCCTGGGGCCAATGAAGAGAGGAAATCAAAGCTAGTAACTCTTGGGTCACAAGTTACAAATGTCAGTACTCCGAACAATGTTCCCCGTAGGCCAAGGTGGTTTAACCTAAAGATGCCCCAGGTCTTTGAAGATTGCAACATCACGAGTTTTCTCACTCCCAGCAAATCTTTTACTGCTGTGATAGAGGTGACTGGAACTGCTGGAAAGTAAGAGGTGGTGCTGTGTGCGAATAGAACGTGTAGTGGTAAAGCGTTCGTGATACGGATAGGCAGGTAGCTGGAGAAAGGAAGATTCTAGTATAAACTAGAACACAGGCATGCAGACCTGGAGACAGCAGGAGTAAACGGACAGGGCTTCCTGGTTAAGTGTGGGGAACCAAAAAAAAAAAAAAAAAGTTAATATTGGAATGAGAGAGCTCATCTGACCAAACTTTCATTTTTATGAATCATCATTCTTTGCTGTCCTTGATAGGTTTGCATAAACATCTTATAGCTTGGAGGAGGCAATAGTTAGGTTGGTGTATCACCAATGGATGCAAGGCAGACAGCCCACCAAGTGGCTTTATCAAGGAGGTTTCCTCAGTGAGCTCACTGACAGGAGATGGTTTTACACATAATCCTCAGCCACTCTGTAGGACCAATTCTCTCTCTATAGATGGAGGAGGCAAGTTTCATCTCTTGCCTGAAGACCCAAGAGCAAGAGAGAAAGCTGAAATTAAACCAGTTGTGTCTTCTGACTTTAGAACAACCATGCTGTGCTCAGGCTACAACTCAGGTTTTAAACTGTTCATTCTTTTGGACACACTGTTTACACTTCCAAAATCATGCAAAGAAGGTTCCCTGGTACTTGTCGCATGGTGGGTATTTTGTAAATGTTCCATTGAGTGGAAAAGTCTTAATTTGTTGAACTGTGTTCTTGCGACCACATGGTTTTCAGACATGAAATAAGTTTTATTCACATCTGTAATACTCAACAGTATAGATTTAAAGAAAAAACAAAAACCACTGCCTTGGTCTAGAGCAGTGGTCTGCAAACTCAGTCAACAGAGCCGAATATCAACAGTACTTCAAAATAGACTCGCCCAGGCCGAAAACCGACTTCTGCGCATGGGCCACGAAGTTTCAATCGCACTACATGCGCGCCCACACGTGGTATTTTGTGGAAGAGCCTCACTCAAGAGTCCAAAGAGCCGCATGTGGCTTGCAAGCCCCAGTTTGCTGACCACTGGACTAGAGTATCTTCCCCACTTGTACAAGGTGGCATTTGTTGTGAAGAGCATAGGTGTGGGCTGCCCAGGTTCAAATCATGGCTCACCATTTATTCTCAGCATGAAATGCTTTTTTTTAAATTTCTTTATTGATTTCAGAGAGGAAGGGAGAAAGAGAGAGAAATAATGATGAAAGGATCATTGATTGGCTGCCTCCTGCACACCCCCTACTGGGGATCGAGCCTGCAACCCAGGCATGTGCCCTTGGCCAGAATCAAACCTGGGACCCTTCAGTCTGCAGGCTAATACTCTATCCACTGAGCCAAGCCGGCTAGGGCAGCATGCAATGCTTATTGATAAGTGCTCAATGTTACTATTAACAAAGAGAATAGGTAGGACAATATAATTTCAGCTTAATTCCTATGAATATAGTTTTTAAAACACGGTAAGGTAATTCCATTTGAACTTTTCTCTCTGACGCTGACCCTGAAAGATACTCAGAGTTGCTAATTAGAGTGACTTTATTTGATTTATATAAATATCCATGTGCCATTCTCCTTCCAGCATCCATCATAAATGTAACCAACTTCATGCAAAGGAGTAAAAAATTATCTAGAACAGCCGTGGGCAAACTACAGCCCGCGGGCCGGATCCAGCCGTTTGAAATGAATAAAACTAACCCCCAA